ATGAGCCCCAGCCGGCCCTGCCACTCCAGGTGACAGCTCCTCAGTGACCCTGGCTGAAGCAATGCCCCCTTGGCATCCGCCCTCCTGGATCCCACTTGTACAGGGAATTTACTGTTAGTGGGGCTGTAGCACAGCGCTGCACTGAGTGTCATTATCACTGTTAAATGCTGCTGGCCCTGATTTCCACTCATTACTAAAATATAATTCTCTGCCAACCTCAAAAAGGGAAGGGTAAAACTTCAGTAAAACCCCATATCCTTCCTTTTCTATCACTAAATTACCAGTCACTAAATGGACACATTGCAGACACTGGCACACCTGGGAAAGTCGAGGGCCCACATTTTTTCCAGTCATCAGGAAATCAAACAAGTAGCAATTGCTTTTTTTTTCTACAGAAAATATTTATTTGCAAGAAATGAAAAGCATAACATACTTCACTACATACATATTTAGGCTAAAAAAAGCAGGTAGTCTGTTCTCTCACAGAATCAGGCAGATGATTTAAAAAAACAGCAATTTCTTTCCACCCAATGGACATGTTTGCAGTGTGAACAATCAGGTGGGACTGTATCCAGATGACAGCACTTGTACAAAAATAGAAAGGTCACTGAACACAGACACAGAGTTAAATAGACAAGGCAGGAGAATAGAGATATCTGCAGTCAGAAGAGGCCCCAATGAAGTTTACTGAGGAGTTTTGAGGGGAGAGTGGTGTGCTTTTGCACTGGTATCACTGTCCCTGTCATCTTAGACAGTTTTACATGTTTGCACAAACCTATACTGCACTCACATGCACAGAGGGAAAGGCAAACACCAGCTGAAGTGCTCTAGGGGTGTCACAGCAGTGACTGCTCTGCACGGCCCAAGGCAATGGAATTGCCCATGCATACTTCTCCTCAAGAGAGCACCAGCAGGTAATTTACCCTTGGAAGGCCCAGTGAATCTCAGGGAAACTGGGATGTACTTGCAGCACCCTCTGAGAGGAAACTGGATCTCACTGTGCCTGAGGGTGGTTAGGGCATCAGTGCTCCCAGGGGCCACCTTTTAAGGCAACTTACACCACTTACAAAAGAAAATAATAATAAAAAAAGCATTCAAAGTCATAATTCTGCAGACCAGAAATGATACCAGAATACAAAATAATTAGTTTTTTGTACCAAGCCAGAACTGGTCTCTGGAAAGGCCAGACAATCTAGGCACACATGCAAAATGACACAGTGCAACAACATTCAGTCAACAATTAATCACAGGACAGTCTTCAGAGCAATTCACACAACAGTTTTACAAGTGCTCCGTGATGTGGAATGTGAACAGGTTTCAGAGAGAAATGCCTGGACTTTCTGCTGCACCAAGCCCAAAGTGCCCTGTGTGATCAGGTAGATGCCTTTATTTAGCAACACTTACTACAAGAAGAAAACTCAAAACTCTGTGGTTTTGATACCTTTTGATATTCACCATGCACATGTGCACAGATGCACACACACACACTCATTCTAACTGTACAAATGAAGAAAGCAAGATGCCATTATATCAGCACCACTGATTAAAGTCTGTTATGGTAAAGTCAGATATGAGCAGAGTTCTGTTTTACAAAATTCAGTACCTGCCTCTGCTCCTCCCTCTCTCTTCCACTCCCTTCATTATGGACTGCTAAGGCTCAGAAAGATTTGCACCTGCTGTTTAGAGGGTAAAGTGGGGTATAATATAAAGGTCAGGTATGCATAAACAGGACTGCATGGCATTAAAGAGCAAGGGGAACAGGAGTGAACCTAAACCTAGCAGGGAACTAATGAAAGAGACTATCACTGCTGATTTAGGCTATTACTGCTGATTTATGGAATCAAGAACTAGAAGGCTTCCCTGTGATGCAAGGAGTCCCTTCACCTGCCTTTTCTTTCACCCCTTCTGTAAGACAGGTCTACAAATCCAGCTTTCCCATGTTGTGTTCTCACCTCTTTAGTTGCAGCTCTTGGAGGAAGAATCTGGAGATTGGTTGTAGGACAGATAAGAGACTACTGCTAGTGAAGAATATCCAAACTCCACTCAGCATCAGATCCAAACAGCATCACAAATGAGTTTCCTGCATGATGAACTTTTTTCTATACAAGAATTTGATTCATATATATATATACACACTGGTAAAGCAGAAAAAGACCTGACATAAAAATGAGAAAACCAAATTGCAATTTGCCTCTCAATCCTGGAGTCTCTAATGGATGCTGATCACCTAAGCAATGCAGTATTAATCAGGATTAATCTTCAACAAATTCTCTGAATGCCCAATGTCACTTTATTGGCCATGAGAAAGCTACAAGATGAACTGAATCCTTACATTTTCTTTGTAAAGACCTTACTTAACACATACATGAGTTCATTCTCCTTTGCAACCCCTAAAGTTGTTAAATCTTAATGCTAGAGAGTGCAAAGCAGCAACACATCATAGCACTACACTGTTATATAGGCTGGGACAACTTTAGTAGCTACAAAGTACTGACCTATCATTTCACCTTCAGAACACAAAATGTTCCCTTTTTAATTAGTGACTGAAGAAAGAAATATTTTAGTCACCAGGAGTATAAAAATACTCTGTATTCCTCTGTTCTGAGCTGCGTGGGTTTTGAATGGCCTCTTGGCATTAGCTAGAATCTAGAGCCCAAATACTCAGTGGAAATCCCTCCCAACGTAGCAATTAGCATCATTCACTCACTTGACCTACATTCTAAAAGTGTCTAGACAGAATTCACCACTGATAGCTTGGAGGGATGGGAGTGGAGGGGTGGGTTGGTTTCTTTAGCAGGAATAAAAAAAGTTTTTAGATTAATTTTTGGTCTATGTTAGAAGAATCAAGAACACATTAAGATACACTGCTACACAGACAGATGTGGAGGAAGAGGTCCCCTGTCAGTATAAATCAGACCTGCAGCCTCCAAGAGCAGAGTGTGAACACCATGCTGGTTGTACCAGCTGGGATCTGGCCTAAGAACCTCAGCCTAATCCATCAGTCTGTGCTGGTGAAAAATATTGAGTGGTGCAGAAGAAATGAAAGAAGTGCAGCAAAGAACTATAAATAGCCTGGGGGGAAAAGAACTGAACACTATCTACACCCCAGTAACAAGGTTAGAAACGTCACATGCCCTGTGATTCAGACTTTTAAAATATACATATATATAAAATAATGCCCTATATTCCTTCATAGCTTATCTCCCTAGAAGCAAAGATCCAGCAGATCTAAACATGCTCTAAAGCTACAGGCCAAAAGGTAAATTTACTGCTGTGTATAAAATTGTGCTGGTGATTAACTTAACCTTACAGCTGAGGATTTCACTTAAGTCCTCTGCTGGAAATGGAAATTATGTAGTACACAAGGCCTTGCTTCCCTGTCCTATGATTCCACAGCACCAGGTCACTGATCAGCAGAAAAAGCACACTGGCTGAAGGCTAAGGCCTCAAGCAATAGAGCTGAACTGACTAAAAGCACTTACTGGCATCCTCCCTGAATGTGCCTCACTACTGCTGTGCCCCTAACCCAGAGCACAGAAGCTGCCTCTCCACGTGGGCTGCAGTGCACCAGCATTCCCACCCCTGCATGCTGAGGCTGGCAGTGCAATGGCACCTTGTCCTGCCTCTCCTGTCCCCTGCTAGGCACAGAACAGGGACACAAACCCCCTCTGGAGGTCATGGGTCCTTGCCACACCACAGCCTCTGAGTAGGTGATGGCAGGGGATTCCTGGGCCCCTGGCAGAGAAACCTGTTCCGTTAAGGCCCCTGAAGAAAAATGACCACAAAGATAGCAAAGTGAAGCAAAGCTTTTCCTTATTCTAAACTAACATGTAATACAATAAATCCCCAAGCAATGTGTGTGCTAGGTCAAGAGATTCCTTAAAAAAGAGTACCTAAAAATAACTTAAAGGAGTACACAAATTAAGATTATAGTAATAGATTATCAAATACTTACAAGAAATCAGAATGGCCACACTGGCTTGGATGGATTAGTACAGAGGCCTGACCCAGACCATGGCCAGTTTCAAATGCTCAGGATGAAAACACAATTGACTATCTTCCAACCAGCCCAAATCAAACTAAAAAAGGGTAAAGTTTTAATGGTGGCCAGTGCAGTAGGCTTCAGAGAGGAGGAGCTATTTTTGTTGTGCAAAATCATCTATCCTTTAAGAGCTGAGAAATAATTCCACTTAGGTTTTCACACAGAGGAGTCACCAGCTGTATCTGGAATGGGAGGTGATCCATTTAGCTGGCACTGGGCAGGAGCTCAGGCTGACACTGCAAACTGCAAGGCTGGAAAGTGGTGCTGTGCTTCACACCCTGGGGCCTCTTCTGCAGAACATTTTAACCATTTGGTTGCCCTCAAAGGCAGCAAACCAAGGGTGCTCTGGGAAAAGAAATTAAGGAATTTTCTAAGCTATGACCTTGCCCACTTATGCTGACCAGTTGGGGTCAATCCCAGCTTTCTCCTGTCACTTTGCTGACCTCAAGTGGCTGAGCAATGCAGCCACCCCTTGTGGCACTCACAAGTGACCACTGTCTTAAAACCGTAAAAAAAAAAAAAAAACAACACAAAAAAACACAAAAGTTGTTAATGGATGCTGGAATGATGCAGAGAATGCAGCAGGATCACTGTGAAGGGAAGCAGACTTTATGGTGCAGGCTGACCCATGCCAAGATGGGAACACTTGCAAAGCAGACTACAACTGCACTTCTCTCACTGTCACCTCAGGTAAAACAATAAGGCACTTGGGTAGAAGAATAGGGCATTACCTAGAAGAGCAAATCTGCACACCAGAACGAGCCCATGGAGTCAGGCACTTGTTTCACTGTCACTGATGTGAAACACCCTCTTAAAATGGCACAGGGAGGACTGATCCACAGTCCCCTCCAATCCACCAAATCCCTTCCATTCATTTCACTGGATTTTGAGTCAGGCCTGACGGTGAAAAACAGGATGCTGAAGGAAGAAGGTCAAAGGAGAATGAAGAACAAGGAAGGAGCTGGTGCGACAACTGCTGTAATAAAATACAAATTCAATATTTTACAAAATAGAATAGTTGCAAGAAATATCTACTGTACATAGTAAAAAATTATTTGTAAGGCTAGGTTAGTTTTTCCCTTATTTATCATTAGGAAAAAAAAATAAAAGAAAAAAGAGCTTCAAATTACTTTTTTTTTTTTAATTGACTTCTTCTGGTAAACTGTTAAGCAGCTCTGCTAGCCTGCTGAATTAGGGATTTTCACATTAGATCCATCCTCAATGGAGCATGAGTGCCGTTCTGTAGGAACCAGATAAAACCCTGCTCAAATTCTGGACTGAGTTCAACTATGCCTCTGCAAACACAAACTGCAAGGAGCACAGCTCAGGCAAAGGCATGACCAGGGTACTGAGAGAGAGACAGAGAGGGCACATGAAGTACACCATAGGACAAGAAGGAACAGAGCATGGAGAAGAGGACTGGACCAGAATCAGACCTGAATGCTGCTCTTGGCTTTCTCCTGAGCCTGGGACAGTCACTTCACCCCCTCACGTGCTCATCTCATTCCTCTTTTGACACGTCTCCTGCCCATGTAATCAGCTCCTCAGATCAGAGGCAAACACCTAACACAGGATCCACCACCCTAGGCATGAGCTGGCCTATCTGTACCCAAAGCAGGTGGTCTCAGACCACACCTCTGGAAAAGCAGGTAAGAGGAAAACAAGACACCTGGCTTTATTTTCGGGCAATTCAAGCTTAAGGGGAGGAAATGGGCATTCAGTGATGTTCATCTGTCCAATTTCAGGGTTTGCCCAGATCACTTGCAGGGTTAGGAAAGCTCAGTTCTCTTCATTGCAGCTACCTGAACAGAATGTTTCAAAGCTAATAAATACTATTTACAACAGTAACAGGAAGATGGCAAGGAAAGGAAAACACAAGACAATCTGAGACTGGGTCTACACAAGAATTTTCATCAACCAGCTAGAAGCCAATAAATTAAATCCATACACTCCTCTAAGGAGGCACTTGTGGTTTAAGCCTTACATTGATTTAGTTTGTTGGGAAGGAACTGACTTAAGCTAAATATATTAGCCTTAAGCAGACTAAAGGGCATCCATCTAAACTATTGCATAAATGTAACAAAACCTGCTTTCTAAACAGATTTAGTTAAACTAGCGTAATTCTCCCACACAGTGTGTGGTAGGACAGTGACTGATCTTTGCTTAATTTCTCAAGGGTGGAAGCAGGGAAGCCCACCAGGATTGCATTCAATGCACAGAGAAGCCTACACTGTTAAGTGATGAAGAGTCTGGAGGGGAGAAGAGAAAGAGCATGGGGAGGACAATCCAGCAGCATCATGGACCAGCCCTCTCCTGCCTGTGCTGTGAGCTCAGCAGTGTCAGGGCCCTTTCTTGTCCCCTCAGCAGCAGGCTGCACATTGCTTCTCTATCCCCCCAAAAGGCTCCAGTGCTGCAGACCAGCAGGCACAGAGCTGTGGTGAGACTCTAAGCACCATCATGCTGCATCTCCTCTCTCTCTCCATTACCTTCTCCCAAGAAAACCATCACCCACATGCTCCCATTGGTTTTGCACAAATTCACCCTTCTCCAGAATGTCTTTGTGCTCAGATCAGGCTGTGTGCATGCACAGGCACACACAGTCACTGGCACACTGCTGGCATCATCTGCCATCATAATTCAGTGCTGCCCTTGCAGTGTTAGACAGGAAAGGGACAAAAGCAGAGACAGGGACTGTGTGCCACGTGAGGAAGGGAGTTACAGAGACAAGAGATCCCATCTGTAGTCACAGCCCCATCAGTCAATGCAGAAGTTGAACTCCCTCTCTTTTGTACTTTGGTTCACTGAGGATGACAAGTCAGGGGAACTTTGGTTGAAAATATGTGGGAAGGAGGGAAGTCAAGAAAAAAGGCCTTTTTTATTTTTAAGAGGTGGCATTGACTCTTCTGTCTATTTCAATTATCTTCAGTGTTTCATTTCCTTCTAGCTCCGAGTTGACTCTGTAGGGAGCAAAAAACCAAAGGTTAATGCTAACAGTAAGTTTTTTAAGTACATATCCTGCTTGATTTGGCTAATGCTAAAGATCCATTCAGTATTTACCAGCAAGGTATTGGTCAGTTAGCTGAGTCTGGTAACATACTGAATTATCCTAAAGTAGACTTCTCTTTGGTTCTAGGCAAGCAAAGGTGCAGCAGATGAAAGCATATATATTTAAACCAGTGACTCTCTTTTCAGAGGCCTGAAAAACTTACATTTATGCTAAAAATAAAGAGCAAACAAAAAAAAATCCCTTACATTTATGCTGAAAGTGAGGGAATTCAGTGTGAGAACTTAAGTAGTCAGATAATTGTACATGTCTGTCTCCTGAGACTGAGTCCTGCAAACTTTCAGCAGTAATGCTTCAGTAAAATCACTGCTGTGAGAAACTCCAGCTCTTCATGCCCTAACCTCATTGAAATTCCAGTGAATCACAACCTCACACTTCCATACAACTGCCAAAAGCTTATTCCTTTGGGAAGCACACAAGTAAGTGCTTTAAAGAAGGGGGTAGGCCCAACTAACAGGCTTACAGGGGTTAGGTTTCTGGCAGAAGTACCGAGTTTGGTAGCTGCATTACTACAGTTCTGATGCAACCACTTCTCCAGAGCGACAGTGACTTTGCCTATAGGCAAAGATAAAAGCCAAACTCTTCCTTCATGCTTCATGGTGCCCAGCACACGAAGTGTTAGTGCTAGCCTAACCTCTGTCCTTCAGGCATGAACAGGAGTGACACAGAACACCCGTGTGACAAGCAGCCTACTCTGCACTCACCTGTGCTGCTGCAGGCCCAGCAGCACTGATTTCTCTAGCCTGGTCTCGTTGGCTATTGTGAATTGCATGATTTCATCCTGCTGTGTCCCTGGCACAGCCTCCAGGGACAGTGCTGTCAACTTGGAGGCGTCTGTTTGTCTGTCACTGCGATCTGCGAAGGAGATCGCGCTGGATGGCTCCTCCAGCTGTTGAGGCTCTTCATAAATTAGGAGGCTCCTTGACCTCACTGCATACAAAGAGAGAAGACAAAATGAGATGAGCAACAGACAGCTCAGAGAACAACCCTGGTCATTTCAGGAAATGGAAATTGTTAGGGCAGAGCCAAAGCTGCAAAGGCCTTTTCTTTTCATAGTGATTAAATGGGGCAATTTAAGAGCTGAAGAAAGAAACCACAGGAATGGTCTAGGTAGGGATCAAAAAGCCCTAAATTATTCAAAAAACAAGGACAAAATTAAATAATAACTTTGATAATATATTATTTCATTATGGTTATGTAATACTAACAGTTTCCCATTCAGTCCTTGGACTCTTTGGTGACACTGGCAAAGAAAACAGCCACTGAAATAATTTGTGCATTTTAACAGTATGAACATTTGCTACCAAGTAGAAACCCTGCTACCCTTCACAGACCACTAACTTTAGTTCTGCAAACAGAGGCAAAAAAGTCTTTAAACAGAAGTACCAAGCAGGCTAGTGGGGAAAAAGTTCTGCCCATTTTTATGAAGTCTGCTGCCATCAACATCAGACAAGCTATCCTTCTTAGAAAAACAGTGGTATACATTAAAAAATGGCCATTTAAGGAGCAGAAATGCAAGAGGTGCTTGAGAAGGGGGTTGGGAATGGGTGTGGAAAACAAGTGCTTAAATACAACCAAGGAAAGAGCAAGACTGGAATAGCTGTCACTTACCAATTGAATCTGTGTAGGACTCTGGTGAGGAATGCTGCCTGGGCAACACCATCTTTGTAGCAGAAGGATATGGCCCATAGCTCTGAGAGAAGCTGCCAAAAACTACTGCAAAGCACAGCACCACCATCTGGCAAAGGGAGGAGGCAGGAGAGGTGAGCCCACCTGACCCACATGCACACAGGAGATCTGACACTTTATCAAAACAAATCATGTGGGGCCATCCTCACCTCTGCACACCCAGCAAAGGCACCTACACAATGACAATTCAGTGCTTCAAAGGGCACATCTCAATGCGGGGGTTTGTTTTCAATGTCTGCACCATTCTGACCAGCTGCCATTTTACTCACAAAGCTGAAATGCAGATAAAGCTGCCATGTGTGTCTTGCAGGCACTGCTGAGGATTTCCAAAGTTATTTCTGCTGCTGGCCCCAGTTTTGCTTCCAAGTGACAGTGAGGCTAGATTGGGAGAACAGCTCATGCCTTGTAAATTATTTCCATCAATTTACAGCACTTTTGGTATAAAGGGAACTTGATAGCTGAATGTAAGGAGGGGAAAGCAAATGTTTTATTCTACTCATTTTCTTATCTTGGCTACTACTACTGAAATAGGACAGAGGTAGATTTACAGCCTCAGTCATATTTTGATTTGGTTGAGCAAGTTTATTTTTATTAGTATCAAAAGTACGAGCCTCAAAGGTCACCTTCATTTTCATTTTACAACCCTAGACACCATTTCCACCTTATAAAACTGCAGGAAATAATAAAGTGGGACCCTTGGAAGAGCACTGATCCTTCTTTCATCACTGCAGCACCCAACTAAAGGCACAGGGCTAGTCTCCTCCAGAACTCAGTACCTTCCCACAACCATTAATCTTCATCCATCACAAGTCTCACCTCCCTCAAAATTGTTAAATCATTAAAAGGAGTTCCCTAAGCTGCAAATTTGCCACTGAGAGGCTTTGCAGATCAAGAGATGTGCCTTGAAAGAGATTGTCTTTCCCTCAGAATTCCCAGCCTTAGGAATACTCACCATAAGACAGGTCCCTGTCTGTGTGCTAGCTGCCTTACACGAGCGGGACACTTTGCCAGCAACCACGGCTTGGAGTCTCTGCAGCTGCTGCAGAAGAGTTCTGGAGGGCAAAGACAACAAACAAGCATCACACACACTGACCTGCTTGTTGGTTAAATAGATTTTTGTTCCAAATTCCACGCATGGCAATAACACAGCATTTAGGATAAGGTAGAGATAGTTAAAGTCTTCTTAAAATCACTAGCAAGGAATGTTTTGAATTTTACGAAGTTTTTACATGTATTAGCACTGAAATGTTCAAGATTTTTTTCTTTTCCCTCAGCTTATGTCCCTCATCAATTACTTCTTTAGTACTTTCAGTAAGCTTTTATAAATAAAAATTGTATTTTCAGTGTTTCTATACAAAATGACATTAACAACTGAAATTGCTCTGCATACAAGTCACCAGTTGCATATATAATGTCATGAATTCAGCTGGAGTTTTTCCATTATTTTTAAAGGTGCAAAATCAAGTTTATAACTGCTCAGTTAGTTTTCAAAACCTTCAAGTGGCTCCTCTGATTGTGTCTTTCAGAGGTCCCAGCCACAATGACAATCCTCTTGTGGCTGGATTCAACAGTCCCAGACCAAAAGAACCTTTCTGACTGTTTTTTGGTGTGTTTTTTTGTTTTGTTTTGTTACCTTTTCTGCTGTAGCATCAATTACTACAGTCAGAACACAAGTAATTTAAACAGGAAATTATCTCAAAGTGTGATCGGTACAGGATTTTCACATAAGTCTCTTTAACAATCTATGAGCAACCCAAATGCCTGTCCTCAACACAAATACAGTACAATTTTGTATGAAGATGCTGAATTTTCTATTTGTTCCCAAATTTACTTTTCACTTCTCCTGTAAGTTTCACAATCTACTGTGCAGGATACCCCACAGAAACTCCAGACAGTTTTGGAGGCTGTTACGTCAAAAGCTAAAGCAAGAGGCAAGGTCAGGATGTCAGAAAAAACAGAAGGAGTATTTTAAGACCAAACTGGCTAAAAGCTAATTGTAGGACAGACCCAGAGGTGCCTTCACAGCTCAATATACACTGGTCTGCTATTTTGATAGATTTTTTTAATCATCAATGCTCACTGCTAATTAGGGTTTAATGAATTCAAGGACTTCAGGAATACATTCTGAAATGAGCACAAGGCATTCTCACAGCACAGATTTATCTGGGCCAGCAGATCCTTCTCAACTTGTTAAGAAAGGATATCTTGAATGCTCTTGAGAGCATGGCTTACTCTGTAACTCAGTATTTAAAAAAGAGAGCAATATGCCCAATGCAATCCTTTATTCAGTAATACAGACCACAGGCAAATTAAGAGATACAAACAGTGTCCACCACCTGAATGAAACCATCCTAATTCCCTGCTCCCTCTGGCATCTCTCTCCAGTTCCTCCTGCCATCCACTGCATGGCACAGAGCTGTGCACATCATTTCCTGGCACAGAACACCTTTCCTGCAGTATTCCCACCTCGTGCCACCAGCTGGGTTAGACAGCAATGCCCTTCCAACCCTCAACTTTCTGTGCTATTTTGGAAGACTAAATCTTTCCCCCATTTCAGGCCTGACTCACTGGAGGAAGGAGCTCTCCTCCTCCTCAGCTTGGGGGCTGGCAGCAGCAGCCTTGAAATGCTGATCGTTCCTGCCACTTTTTGTGGAGGCGTCAGTGAGAAAACAGCTAATGGCTGGTGAGGAAATCAACAGAGAAGAGGCAATTCTCCTCAGTTTGTTCATCTCTGCCTTTTCATGCTCAATTTAAAAAACCTGTTGGGCAGAGTGGGCCCAGAGAGCTGATTACAAAACAGCCTCTTTGGAAAGTGTAATTAGGAGGTATTCTGAGGTCTTCTACAGACAGAGGAAGATTCATCCTCCACCTTATTTACCAAATTCCTTCACATCAAATGTCTTTCTTCTCCCAGTCACTTATCTGTTTGAGCAGAGCTACTGTTTCCTTCTCTACAGACAAGGACTCAGTGTTTGGAGCTGACAGGATACAGGTGCATTTGCAAACTGTGAGCAAGAACTGAGGCAAGAACAAGAAACAAGTTTGATCAGAGATGACACCAGTTTATCCTGCCACTGTCAAAATGAGACACTCCTTGGTGCATTTATTCTCTGAATCTGGAATGGTGGAAGACCGGATTCTGAGGTCAAAAGATTCCTATGCAAAAGCTTGGGACCAGACAGCTGCAAGGGTGATCTGGAGCAGGAGAGGCAAAAGGAGCAGATCTCTGATGCACCCTCTAAATCCCAGCAGAAAGGCCACAAATGCTTTTAGTGGAATACACTGCCTATGGCCAAGTCCTAACAGGAGAAAATGCAATGCCAAGACAGCATGCTAAGGGGGTTTGCACCCACAGGGATTATTTTCACTGTGTCTGACACGTTTCCCAGGGATATTCAATTAGAGGGTCAATTCTGTAGGAGGTGTGAGTGAGCTTTCACGCTTTTCCCTGCCAATGGAAGCACCTCAGAGGAAAGCTGTAAAGTGCCTGAAGACTCCTGCACTTCCTTCCACATGCTGCCAGCAAACTCAGTCTGCCAGTGATGTCTTAGTTTTGGTGCATATTCACAAATATTCATCTTCAGAAGAGGCCTTTTCACTACCAAAGTATGGAGCAAGTCAAGCCTTCCCTTCTGCTCCCAGTGATACTTTAATTAAGGAGAGAAAACTTGTCACTACAGAACCACCTGGGAGACTTCCTTAAGTCAGTCTTTCTGTTTAAAATCCAACATTGATGCAAACAAACAGAAACAACCAAACAACATCATCTGGGGACACCAAACACTTTATCCTAATCAAAAGTTTTTAGAGGATGATTCCTATGGTGTGAGGAACAAAACCCAATTCTGGTACGGAGAGAAAAAAAATATTCAGTCTTGTAATTCTCCACAGAGATTGCTTCTCTGCCTGTCCCATTTGAAGCAATGGCGACAAATCCCAAAGTGAGGTTTTAACTAAAAGACCACTTAAATCCACAATCTTCCCTCATGTGAATTACAAAGAAAATCTCCACAATTTTTTTCATAAAAGATGTTTCAGCATAAAAACCCTAGTAAGTAAGTAAGGAGTTACTCCAGGGCTGCCAAGCTTTGTCAACTATTGTAATGGTGGCCTGAAATTAGGTGCAAGAGATCTCACTGCAGCTTAAACCTACATCCTTTACTCCTTGAAAACAATTTGCTAAAATGACTTTATCAGTCTCAAATGAATAAACAACTGATCAAATCAGTGAAGTCTGGCAGCTTTGGTGCTGATAAACCTTTGGTGGGTCAGACTGATGTGCAACTTGATCTTTAGGGGACTGGGAGTTGAAGAAATGGAAGAATATCCTATTTTTGTTTACAAGGCATTGCCTTTAAGGTGCTTGTTAGTGCAGACCAGCACAGTTGGTTGCTGTTACTCCATGGGAGCAACTCTGGCATCCACCTGCATTCATTGTCCATGTGTGACACTCTCACCCACACATGCACTGGATCCTATGTCTATCATTTCTCCAGGAAAAGAGATCATCAAGATGCTTATAAATACAGAATCAACAAAAGTGAGAGGCAAAAGCAATTCTCAACACATGATACCCAGAACCAGATGTTTCAAAATGGTCTTTAAGCCCAAACAGGGCTCCCAGGTAGACAACACTGGTGGTCAGAGAATGTTAGCAACCCTCTGGATGATCACTGGCAGTTTCTGCCTTTGGTCTCAGCCAAAATGTGAGTGGGTCAAGCCTTCCTGGTGACTGGGACAACTTAGTTCAATACCCAACACCTGCTTCTTCTCACACCCTTTGCTTTCTGAGAGAGCTTAGACGCTACTCAAACCAATGGCTCACTTGTGGCAATAAGACAAAACAGGTAAGAATGGAATAATGGGCTTCCATAGTTTTGAGAAAACTGCCCAGGAACGAACTTGGATGGGTTTCTTTTAAGGGATTGAGTCACACAAATGAGGAGAGGTAACATATGCTACTGTTCTAATACTAAAGCTGACAAAAATGCTGCACTCACCCACTCAGAGTAATGAGAATTAAAAACTCTGGCATCTTGATCGCCAGCCTCCTGCCTCATCTTTTAAGATGTGTGAATGCCAAGGGAGATGCTCCTGGATGTAATTTTTTTGACCACACCTGCACCTTTGACATTACATCTCTTCAAACCCAGATTTTCAGGCTAAGGCTGGCTTTCAAGGAAGAATCTTCTAATTTTTTTCATGTTACTGAGAGTAACGAAGGAAAACTTTTATCAGAAAAAAATTCTCGTGTTTCCATGGTTTGGAGCCAGATTTTGAAATGCAAGCAGGGTTTCCCTTAAGTCTTAGGTATGTATCTATGCAAATGTTTTCTATATATAGATTAACATACTCTTAAAATCTGATTGCACATACTGAAAGGAAACTGCTGTTCAATAGTTGTATGTTTTGGAAATTGCTCTTCAGTTCCTCTCAATCCAGCTAGACTACACAAACATGATAGTTACTGACAGTAACACATGTTCATTAACTTCTAGGTAAATAACTGTAGCCCAACTTTTCAACAAGGTAAAAATCCAACTTTGTCTACATCTACAGCTGAAAGCATCATTTTAATACATAATCTTATTTTCCTGTTATCTTTCTTCCCCTCTTACAGTCTTTCACAATGGGAGAACAGCTTTGATCTAATTTTAGATAATATGTTCAATAATGTCTTCATTTTTTACTGAAATGAATACTCAAAGTTACAGCTAAAGTCAACTAGGGCTCTGTTTTGGGCATATTAAATAAGATACATGTGTGCCTAACTGAGCTAGAGAAATATTTGAGAAATAAAGCCCTAAACATATAAAACTGGATATCTGACACACCAAATTGACACTAAATTTTGACCACCACTCCAAATAGATTCCTTAGATTCCTGACTGTATGTTGGAGATGCAAGCTCCAGCTATAGGATGCTGTGAAGACAAGTTCTGAAACCTGTGAACATTTTCTGGATGTCATGCCAAGGCTCTGTGCAAATACCAATGAGGAAATGAGACATTTTGAATTCACTGTAGGATGTGGATAATGTACATTAAACCAGGGCCTGGAACCATTCTCTGCATGAGACAGTTGCACAATTGTACAGTAAAGATGAAAAGTGGCTTTTTGGAGTTAAGGTGAAAAACTCTATAATATGATATGTTACAAAACTGAGGTTTGATAAAGCAGGCACTTTAACAAATTTCTCAGCACTTCACACATAAGCCTTAGCAGATTTTAGACACAGTTGATATCTAAATAGCCAAAACAGCATCATCATGAGTTACAAGAATTTCAGTGCAGAAGGATGAACATCTGCTTCTCTGCATGAGATTACAGATCAATATCAGTGCTATTGCACAGGGAAGGAAACAATGCAACTCAACCCACATGGGGAAAGCATGAAGGATTTAGAGATCATACCACTTGCCTAAAACCTTTTAGAGCATTTAGCATGAAAGAATTAAGATAATCAAATAATAGGTAAGATGCCAAAGGTCCTTTGTGAAAGGATGGACAACAAAGCTTGAGTGAATCCTCAATAGCTTAGAGATGAAAACAGCTGGCCAAATTTATCTTAACTGGGGAGAACAACAGCAGGTTGATAACATGTTATCCCCAAGGGGATAATCTACAGCTGCACCTTTTCTTAAGAGAAGCTGGCTTCAGTCCCTTCTGGGACAGATTCTGGGTGAGACATCTCTACTCCACACCTACAGATTAGCTGCTGGTTCTTTCATGTCAAACCCTGGAGGATGATATAAGAGGCACAGGAATGGCTTGGCTCTCTTCAAGCAAGCAGCAGATGTCTTTCTGCATGAGCAGTGTGTGGGAGACACTCTGCAACAAGTCACAGCGCTACAGGGTCTGGCTTCATGAAATTAGAGATTGGATCCAGAGATTAGAAACAACACATGCCACTCAATTAGCAATGCACTGGCTGCCAGATCAGCTCTAGGGCCATTTTCCATGATCCTGGGTCTTATCTTCAAAATCCAGCTTCCCCCCACACTTTAGTGTCACCATCATGTTCCTTGGTAATATTCAGCCATCACTGCAAATGCCTCTAACTGGGAAGTACTGAGGGTGGGCTCATCTGGTACCTACTCACTGGAATTTGCCACTGAGCATAAGCCAGGATTGACACTGTGCTCTCCCAGCTAACATCAAATTAAAAGCTTAGCTACACAACATCTTCTGCCATGTGTCCTTTGAAAAAGCCACCACTGAGTCACCCATTTTTTCAGAAATGAAGAAGCAAGAAGATGATTTTCCCCTCCAAATGAAGGAAATTCTGGGGTGTGAGATAGTTAGAAGGGTGCAGAACAATTGCAATGACATCTAGTAGTGCACAAGGAAGTAATAATGACTCTTGAGTTTCAGCACTGTTAATTCTGGAAGTGTCATGTCTCAGATTAAGGCTTCCTGGCAAAATTCACTAAACAAAGACAATTGGGAGAGCTGGACTGTAGGGTTTTTTTTGTTTTGTTTTGTACTGCTAATTACATTCCCCTGGGCAGTGGAGGAACTCAGAGAAGAGTGCTAAAAGGTTTCTCAAGCACACCACAGGCTGGGGAGGCAGTTTAAGATATGACATCAAAACTTCCATGCTTTATATCCCTGCAGTCACAGTAACTGGCATTCCACATCTTTCTCTGACATGAACCCCATCAGACACAGTTATTGTTCACATTTCAATTGATCTCTTAACCATCAGATTTTCACTTTTCATGGTGATATCCCACTACCAAGTTCTGTTTGATGATGTCCATACCTTACCTGTTAGTGTTCTCCAGGACTTCAACCTTCTTACGCAGCTCACTGTTTTCATTTGAGCAGGTCTCAACTCTGGAGACAGCACAATGAAACAGAAATACAAAAACATCTGTTATTTGTTCAAGTGATTGCAAAACAAGCCAAACTTACTTTCACTGAGAGCTCCATGATCTTGCCTGCATTTAAAGAAACAATTACACCAATGAATCTTAGTTGCAATATTTAATCACACTTCATAGCATGAAACACAAAGCAAAAGTTGCATTAGCTGTCTGGCAAATGCCATGCTTCTGAAATCAGAGCCTCAAATTTCAAGTTTATAAAGGCTAATAAGCCATGAGATTAAGGACAGTGCTCAAGACTGTCCCAAGACACTACCCATTTCCAAACCACCCCTGAAATCCCCAAACTAAAGGACATTGTCATACAACATGTAAGAGGTTCAAGTAAAATATGTGACTCCTAAGAAAACAAACAAAACCATCCTGAATAGCTTCAAGAAGAAAAAAGGGAAAAGAAAATATCCTTGATATCTGGTATGCATGAGGTGGAATTTCAGAAGAGTAACTCTGAGGAAGCAAGACAGAGCTATAAAGAGACAAGAAAAAAAATGGAAATTACATCAAGGATATCACCAAAGATGGTACAAGAGTTTTAACAGAACCATCTGGTGAATTGCATAAGAGTAATACTAGAATATTCATCTCCTGGAAGAAAGATAAATTTGGGATATAAATCACTAACTGGGGGTTTGGCTCCTGCTTGCTAAGGGAAGTCCATGGGTCACATGCTATTTTCCTGAGTCCTGCTTATTTTCCCAGGCAGTCCTGACTCACCCACTTCCTATTTCTGTTTTCATCTGCACTGGAAGACAGTTCACTCACTCTGGATCCATCTTTCCCTGAACACTGCCTGTCCACTGGCCAACACAGACTCCTGAGGTGAAGGCCAATGCAGCTGGGTGCTGCCTAATTTAAGGTGTGAAGTGTTTGCTGGCACATTAGCACGGTCCTGACCCCGCCAAGCAGCTGCCAGGAGCAGGGCCTTTTCTCAGTCACTGCCACGAGATGGCAGCTGGCACTCTGTGCATGGAACCGTCCCAGCAGCCACAGCTGGATCCCTCCCCAGTCCCACAGCTAGTGCTATTGGCCTGCTTGAAACAGGAAGGAGGCTGGCTTACTTTTTTTCCAGACTGTCCATGTATTCTTTCTTTTTTCTTCTACTTTCCTGGGCAGAGATCTAAGGAAAAACGACGAAAAACACCAAATATTTGCACAGAAAACAAAAGCATCAGAGATGAATTAATAAACTGGTAAAAAGCCCCCGTGTTATGAGATTCCAGCATCTGTCTTGTTCTCATTTCTATTCCTGGCAAGCAAAGCACTGACTTGATCTATTTCCACATTCTGAAGCAAGGCTCCTCCTTTCAATCACACAAAAAAAGATCATTCCCTGCTAACCTTAAAAAAGAAACCAGATTCATCTGGAGAGAATATCCCAGGACAAATACCAAAAGATGATCCCAGCATGATGTCCTGCATCCAGGAAGGAAAAAAGCCCATGAATGTATTAGAAAGCAGCTTTGCAGACAAGGGCATGGGGTCCTGATGAACAAGTCAAACAACTGTCAGCAGTGTGCCCCTGCTGGAAAAGCAGCCAGCCAAACAGGGGTCTACATCAAGGAGATCACAGTTAGCAGGTCCAGAGGATGGGCTCTTCCCCCTCTGCTCAAGGGCTGCAAAAACCCAGCTGAGTACAGCAGTGCAGTCCATGGCTCAGAAACAAATCCTCTGGATGTACAGAAGCAGGCCCAGGGGCAGGGCTCTGCTATAATAAGCATACCAGAGCACATGACATTTCAGAAAAGGAAGAAAAAAGATGGGCTTGCTCAGATTAAAGAAGAGAAGGCCAAGGAGGGAATCTGATTTATTGCTGTCTTCAACTATCTGGTGCAGCAAAGACGATGTCAGAGACCTCAGAGGCACACAGCCAATGGCAAGAGGCATCAAATACAAGTTGCAGCAAAGGAAATTCCCATCACACATTAGGAATTCTATTTATTTGTTTTTACCACAAGAGTGTCCTAATATGGGAACATGGTGCCCACAGACACAGGGGTCTCATCAGCCTTTGCAGCAGTAAAATGTGACTGGACAAGACCCTGAGCAACCTTCTCTAAGCTGACCCTGCTTTCCAAGCCAGGGCTTTGACCAAAGGACCTCCAGATTTCTCCTCAATATAAAGGATTGATTCTATGTAAGTGGTGCGTGAAATGCACAACATCACTTCAGAAAATTTTGAAAAAAACACAGTACAAGACCAAATTCCAATTTAGTGTGCTCAAATTTACACCTCTATCTGCTAAAACCAGTAGCAGAATATAGTAACCGTGAAATATGTGCTAAAATCCTCTAAAATAAGTGAGCTGGCCAGGTCTGAAAAAAATTCCATTCGTCCCTACCACTATGATCTTCCCCATGTCAGAAGGAAAAAAAACCAAACTTGCAGGGCATTTGGCATCCTTGGTATCAACTTTTCAAGTCACTGAATTCAGTGATCAAAAAACCAGTGCACTGTAATACAGAGTCATATTTTAAAACAGGAAACAGAAAAGAACACCTTCCTCATCATGCAAAGAATACAGAGGTCTTTGCCCACCATAAGGGTAGGATTGTTCTGATTTTTAAGTGGAGCCAAGCCACAGCAACTTGATACCCTGCCTGCTAAATACTCTATTTTTAACAGGGTCAGGTAAATACCTACACTGAGGCACACTCACACTGACAGACAATTTGATGGATGTGTTCAGGAACAAAGAAAAGTACTTTGTTAAAAGACAACTTGCAGCATTCAACAGTACCATGGACCATTACTGCAGAATTCTGCAGCATTTTCTAAAATGAAGGACAAGTAGGACCCACCCAGCAAAGCTAACTAACATTTACCTTGTTTTTGATTTTCCTGCGGATTTTCTTTAGGACTTTCTCCTCTGCTTTTGTCAGGGGCAGTTTGGTAGGGATTGGGTAGCCCTCTGCTATCAGTGTCCTCTTCTCTTCCTCTGTCAGGATGAGGGGGCCAGTCCCCTGTAATTTCTTCGAAGGTCATAGAAATGAAATAAAATAAAATAAAACAAAACAGTAAGTGCACACAATCCTAGAAGAAAAGGTTGCTAGAGAGGAGAGGCAGCAGGCCTCCCAATACAGACAGGATTATATCTGTTACACTAGAACAGCCTCCTGCAACTGGGAATGTGTGGAAGATCTTTCATGTAACTTCCGTTCTGAGTTCAAACCTTTGGGACAGGATTCCCTCAAAACAGGTGTTCTTGGTTCATCTGTGAGGCCAACAGTATAACTGCCTTTGGCTCAAACAGGGATAGAGACACTTGAGAAACACTACTGAAAATCCCTCCCTAAAGATCACCTCCTGCTAATGACATGACAAGAGGACAGATGCACATCTACCAGAGACAGGTCAACCCAGCAGGGCTGGGCCCTAAGGCAAAACACAGTCCATGATGGGATAAACCTAATACCACTGGTGAACCCTGTCTCAACCTGGAGGAGAGGCACATGCTGTTCCCTGTGGGAACAGAACAGGCCAGTGAGCAAGAATTACCAGATCTGCAGTTTTGACCAGAGATTAATTCATCAAAACAACAACAGAAAGTGAGGAAATCTCTGTCAAAACCAGTAATTTAAAAAGTGAAAAAAATAAAAAAAGACACAGAGATAAATGGTGGAGGAGAGAGCAGCTCAACTCACATGAGGTGCAGTCAGGAGAGGGGAGTTGGAGAGCATCGAGGCTGCGCGCGACGCGACCTTGGCCGTGGCCTGGAGCTGCACGGGGCTGGAGGGAGGGAGCGACCGCGCCGGGCTCTGCCCTCCCTCAGAGTCACTGCCGTGGCTGCTTGGAGGGGTGGGAGGCAAGTGCAGGGGATCCACTGCTACAGGGCAACATAGACACAAAGCAACACAAGGGTTAAAGGTGTCCATTCACACTGCCACCACAGCCACCACCACACTGCTCCCAGGACTTGGGAGTGTCTGCTGAAAAATGCATCAGGCAGAAGTGGCAACTTGGAAGAGGTTTGGAGCATGCAGGTCTCCAAAGAAGGAATGAAATGCAACAACTATCTTTAGGTTTGACAGACAAAACAGGGCTCTGTGCATATGCTCCAGTCACTTCTACCTACACTTCAGCTTCTTCTTCAAGTGCTTTGAGGTTCATGTATAATGTAAAGTACAAGTTCCCTTTCCTGGGAAACCACATTAACAGAGGGGCTCTGAGCCAGCATACTCTCTCTCCAAAAACAATAGTATTTTATAACTTTGCCATGGATTAAACAATCTGCCAGTATTTGCAAGGGAAGGGATCACATCCAAGGAGTTACATGATCAGGAAGGAGAGAAAGGCCTCCTAAGGACATGATCTGGCACAGCTGGGAAGTGACTGACAACCCAGTGACAGCAAAGGCTTCAGTGCACTGATGGAGCAGGAGCAGCACAGGCAGCCACCACAGGAACCTCTCTCACAGTGCCTATCCAGGGCCACAAGATAATTCTACAGCAGGTTCTTTTGGCTGCAGCTGAGGTTATCAGTCAAAGTGCTGCTTATGATCAAATGGGGATGGACCAAGAGAAACAGGGCATGTCTCACTCACTCTTACTAAATGGACAATTTAGCAGATGCTCAAAACAGCCATAACTAAGTCACTCTTTCTGAGCTAAATTTACAGCAATTTAATTTTGAAGTAGGAAGATACAGGGCTGATCTGCCACCTTCCACTTCTGTTATGCTTTGTAAATTTGAGTTGAAAAGATCAAATGGGTGGTAAGGGAGGATGGAAGAAAAATAGTAAAAAAAAACCTACAGTACTCTTTTTATCTCAAATGTTAGCTCTTGCAGTTGCCAGAAGAAGAAACATATTTGAAAAACAGAAAGGCCCTTAATCCCACAAAGTGAGCAAACAAATCTACTCCTGGGTTGAGATATCCTTTTATCCACCTGCTGCATCATTTGCTTCTCTCCCTGGAGCAGTGCTACTTACCCACAGAAATTAATTCACTAACAGAGTATCAAGTGTTTCTAACTGAAAAGCAGTTATCTGCTCAGATCTCACACCAAATATTTGGCTCTTCCAAATTTTCATGACTTTAGTTGTGTTTAGCTTTCAGGGTAGGGATCTTTGCTCCTCCTTTCACATTAGAGTGCAAGTACAAAGAGATAATGATTGTTCCTAAAACTAACATGCTACAAACAGATTCACCTAACTTTTGTTTTCATATAAACTCACATCCAGCTTTTGCATCAGAGGTTAACAGTGAAGTTTCTTATATCTTAACTAAGTCTCCTCAAATTGATTTCTTTTCTATCCTAAATAATCCTTACTTGAATAATTCAAGCTTCCTTCAGTACAACTACTGATATCCTACAGAGAAAAAGGGATAATTTTCTTTGTGATGAAAAAGAGGGGGGAAAAAAAAGAAAGAAAAAAACTTCACATAAAGGATCAGAGAGACTCTGGCTCTTCAATAGCCTGAGTTGAATCCCTATAAAATGTAGCTTCAGCCTAAAATCTGACATGGTGAACAAGAAATCCAAATATTTAATCAGGGTAAAGTACATTTATTGTACTTGCTGGACATCTAGCTCTACATTTTCATTTGGTATTTAACAGACCTTCCTTAGAAGAGAGGTTCAGGAACTGATCCACTTCATGGGGCTCCAATTTAATCTCTGGAAGAACTTTCTGGGTCAGTGGTTTCATCTAGAAAAGAGAAATTAACAGCATGAAAACCTGGAGCACACATCTTAAAGTCTTGATAGAAGGGCACAGGGATTACTTCTCCATAAATGGAGAGGTTTCCTCTCCTCCTGCTCTGCCACAGGCAAAGCTTTAACTGCTTCACACAGTTTGCTAAACCAGGCTACAGAGAATATTGCCCTGACTACTCCCACTATGGCTTTTCTTACTGCTATATTTAGCTAAAATAAAAGATTACGCCTCAGAGATGACATTTCAGACTGAAAGCTAACATGTAACCCACTCCAATTACTTCTCTTAGCAACAGAGCTGCTGCTAGGATTTGCTGGACTGCAGGCTCTGTTTGAGCAAGGGCAGAACACCCCTGGGAGTCAGGGACAGCCTCCTAAAGGCCATTGTCATCTGGGAGCAGGAGCAAGGAGCCAGCCACTGAGCACCATGTTTTGGGACCCAAGCTCCTTTCACAGGGCTGAGGAGCAGGAAAAGAGACAGTCACTGCTGACTGAAGTTGGGAACACACCTGGCCTGCCCCACTGACCAGGCTGGGCACCAGGCAGCCCAGCTTTGCCCAGAGCCTGTCTGTATGCTGCAGTGCCAGGCCTGAGGAGGCCAGGCTGGCACACCAGCAGGCCAACTGCAGCCAAAATCTCTCCCAGTAACCTGTGTAACCAATCCATGCAACAGCAGTGAGCCACCAGCAGACCCCCATACTCTGCAAATCACAGCATCCCAAGCTACAGCAGGACTGTGTCCTGGGAACAGCACATTCAAGCCAGGAGAAACTATGGGAAACTTGTGCTTTAGCTTTTTTAAGTTTCTCATAAAATAATTTCTGTTGCACCTATTTCTGATCCACATCCAAGTGGAAACATTTATTTTCAGCATATATCAACCCCCTCCAGCCTGGACTGACATTGCATGCTAGGGGCTGACAACAGCCATGCTTCTTCCTCTGCTGGCTGGGGAGTCTGGTGAGCCATCAGCTGCTAGAGTTCACTCTCCTTAACCCAACCACAGCCAAACTGAGCTCTTTAGAATGCCCACTGGCTGCTCCAGCTGGGGTGAGAAAAGCATCACAAAGCTCCTTGTGAGGCTGCTGGGTCCAGAAGTAGCAGCAGCCTGAAATGTTAAAGCTTCACAGTAACAGCAAAAGTAACTTTGCTGGCAAAAAGGGAAACTCTCCAACCAATCCCAACAAGGAGTCTTGTTCTGCTCAGGGGAAGGCACAGCAGCATTAAAGCAAGGTCTTATTAAAGACACTTAGCTTGTCACAGGCTTCATAGAGCAAGTGGATTAGGCAGTTTAGGCACAAGTGGTTCATTAGAAACTATTCAAATATTTGTAGAAACCCAGGAGCCCCAAGCTTTGGGGCTAGCATAGTTGTATATTCAAACATTAAGAGTTAAAGATGCAGACAACAAGCTCTTACATCAATGGTGGGACACCAGCAAACATTAAAAACCCTTGGAACAGACTGCATTGTGCACCTTGAACTGCCAAGCTCTGGCACCAAAGAGCCCCCACTGGTAATAACAGCCTTAGGAGAAGCTAAGTGAGCAGAGAGAGCAGAGTCTGCAGTACCAGGGCATCTGTGTGGAGCTCAGGCTGTTCCCCCTCTAGCGACGTGGCCGTGACGGTGAGACTGACTGAAGGAGCAAGGCCTGATGTCTCACACAGCCCTGGCTCTGTCTTTATTGCAGCTGGAGTAAACTCTGTAGCCAGACACCATTCCTCATTTTCCAGGTCACCTGCCAGGGAAGGAAATTGGACACCACATGTTTAGACCAGAAACAGAAAGACTACAAATGAAAATAATGTCATTCCTCTTCCAGAGAAGGGAAACAAACACAGAAGACATTTTAGTCTATCAACAAAACTCTGCCCTTACCATTCAGCTTTCAGTCAATGCAGACAACCATGCCATTTCAGGCTGTAACCTAATCCTAGCCCCAGGATACACAGAGGAGCAGCGAGGAAAGACACAGAGCACTAATCACTGTGCATTGCTGAAAGCTGCTAATGCGTAGCAGAACAAGACTAAACAAGCTCTGGGTAAAGCAGCCAGAGAGCCCTGTCCCAAACAGCCTAATGCCTGCTGACTCAGTTCTATTCCTCCTTCTAGAGATAGCCTTTAGCCAGACTTCTGCTTCTTCTACTGCTTGCAGGCAGCAAATAGCTCAAATGGTGGGATTATACTCTTTAAAACAAAGTATTTTACTTAATTTCATTTTTTTCCCCCAAGGATTCATTTAGTATGTGCAAAAGAGGATATAGGCTTTGATGATTTCAGAGGAGCACCAGTGCCATGGTGATCATGCTGATTTCCCCCACAGAGCCCCTGGGAGGTGACAGCACAGGATGCATTTTTCATCTGGCAGCAATGAAACGTGCATCACGTGTCAGCAGAAATATCCCCTAACTCCACTTACTGAAAGCTCCCTAGTCAAGAGAAAGCCATGCAACTTTTTTCTCGACAAAGCTGAAGGGTTCGCCCAGCATTGTCAAGAACTGGAAGAAGGTTGGCATGGTAAATTTAGCTCCCCATTTCCATTCACTGTTTTACTTGCTGAAAAAGGACTTAATTTCCCAGATCTGTGTCACAGACATCTTTTCATGAAAAATCCTTTCCTTAGGATTTTTCTTCCTGAGAAGCTGAGAAGCCTCAGGAACAAAATGTAAACAATGATTATCTGCTGCTGTGGAATGCAACAGGTGCATCTGTGATTGGTCTCATAGAGTTGTTTGTAATTAATGGCCAATCACAGTCCAGCTGGCTCAAGCTCTCTGTCCGAGCCACAAACCTTTGTTATCATTTTTTTCTATTCTTAGCTTAGCTAGCATTCTGATGAAACCTTTTCTTCTATTCTTTCAGTATAGTTTTAATGTAATATATGTATCATAAAATAATAAATCAGTCTTTTGAAACATGGAGTCAGATCCTTGTCTCTTCCCTCAACCTGAGACTCCTGTGAACATGGTCACAGGTCTGAAGTATAATAGAGTACTAAGAACTTAGAAAGACTCAACCTTTGAAACAATTCCACAAGGCTGTTAACAACCCTCTTTAAAAATGCAAAATAATCAAATGCTTTTTTGTCAATTGCAATTCTGCCTTAGAAAACTTCCTGTTCCAACTGAAAGAGTTTAGTCTTTTCTCTCGCAGGAGAGTATCTTATACCAGGGGCACTGCATCCCAGCTGCATGTGGCACAGTGCTCTGCCATGACTGAGCAGTGGTTGTGAGAGGCATATCCATTAAACAGAGCAGCTGGAATCTGACAGCAAATATACCTAAAAGGAAGAAAAGTGCTGATCTTTCTTTCAAAGCTTTCTACTGCCTTCAAGCAGATTCGTTACTGCACATATGAAATTAAAAGAGAGAGCAAAAACACACACTGTAGGGCTGGTAAAAGCAACAGAGCAGTGAATTAACTGTGCGTTGCACCAGCATCCTGGGAGGCAGCCTTGGGGTTGGCTGTGCCACCAGCACTCTGCAAGGCTGCACAAGACCCTTCATTCACAGCTGAGTGTATCAAGCTGGTGAGATGTCCACAGAGCTCAGCTGCAAACAGGTAACAAAAACAAGAGTGGGCTTACAGCCTGTGCTGCTGTGTGTCCTTGCTATTAAGACCACACACACACAGAGCACACAGGCACTGGGCAGAAGCTGGGTGCCTGGAGGAAGGGAGGAGAATGTGCATCTCCAGTGCTGGTAATTACTTTGTGGTGGGACCTAACCTCCACCATTGGCAAGGAAGGAGGTAATTTGAGTAAAGACACACCAAGGAATTAAACATGAAAAATATGTATCCTGTAATCAGAAGCTCAAGAACAGCAAGGCCAGCACTCTGCCAGGTTAACTGCAAGGGCTAAACACCATATTTAAACTTCTGGAGAGCTTGCTCCCAAAGCTTCCTGGGAAATGCAAAAATGCAAAAATAGAAGTATTTATGGGAAAAAAAATAGGTAGGCTTGCCTAAATATTAACTCAGGAGAGAGGACATTGCTGTTTTTCAACCCTCCCTGAGCCTCTCCAGTCACAACACAAAAGCAGCAGCTCCCTCCCAGCTTGCTGTGTATGCACTGTTCAGGTAAAACCTTTAAAGTGGTACCTGCCTGGAAACCCAGAATCCCTTGGCAAATGCAACTTCCAAATGCTTGTTTGGATAACTTGAGTCAAAACTGGCCCCACATCACCTTGGGCAGAGCCTCCTTTTGCTGCCTCTTGCACCTTTGGGTCGAGCTACCCCTGGGGCAGCACCATTGTGAAGGCTATGGATAAATTAGAGCTATTAATGAAGCCAGTAATTAGCCCTTAATTTTCTTAAATTTGTAGCATCATGAAAGTAGAAGGGAAATCCAGCCATGGGTGACCAGCACAATAGGGCATGTCCTCTAAGGCTGCACTTTATGATTTTTATCACCTCTAATCCCCAGACTCATCACGAATATTCAGCTGCTCTAAGACACCAAGCTATGCTGGCCTTGGGCTGGTCACTTCACTCCTCTGGAATCCATCATTTTACTCCTCTGGAAGCAACTCTGCTGATTAACCTGACATCCCTGCCATCACCACTTAGATCTGCATAAACTGCTCAGAGTTATTGCAGGCTTTAAGCCAGTCTAACCAGTCTGCAGGGTTACAGAGGTTTCCAGGACAGCAACACACTGCACTTTGCACTGAGATCATTCTGAACAACTGCATCTGGCACTTCTCTGACACTGCCTCTCACAATGCACGGTGACAGCTGTCATTCCAGATGAACAATCCTGTGAAAGGAAGGGATGGGGGACTGATTAAATCTCATCTTGATACTCTCCTAAATCTCACCTTGATACTCTCTTAACCCCCTACCCCCTCCCCTTCCCCCTTTTTCCAGATTGCACTTACACATTCCCTACCTGGATCAGGGAGTGTTGTGCTACAAGTTACTTTGTTTTGACACATTCTAGCTTCTGAAGTCACCAACAACCCTTCTCTGCTCCAAGGGATTTATTTCCCACTCTCCTTTCTCCTCTTCCTGAGAATAACAGGTTGAAATTACCTGAAAATCATTCTTAGTTTACTCTTATAATAGTTCCCTAGCATCTTAGTTTGCTCTGCCAAGCACTGCACTAGCAGAGCAAAGTGGCAACCCTTCTCCCAAAGCCCTTGAGAAGGTAACACAAAATGAGAAAAAACTTAGGCAAAGAGGGGAAATGGAGCAGGCTAATAGATCAGTGGTCATGCAGAGAGGTATGGTACACCCTCCAAGATAAGAGTGTTTCAGAGAACCACAACAGAGGTTTCACAGAATAATGAGAACAACAAAGAAGGTGCATGTGAAATACTGGAATGAAAAGGACAACAGGAGCTGGCTCAAGAGACCCACTGGAGTAAAAGGTGTCTTCTCCAAACCAAACCAAGCAAGATGTGCTGTGGTAAGAGTAAATGACTGGAGTCAAGAAGTTAGAGGTGTTTATGTTTATATTTGATGTGATCCAGGAGGTACATGTGAACTTTAGAGCCATAGTCCAAAATGAAAAGCTGAGAGGATGATCTTCATGATGGTATGAATTCTAGACAAATAGGGATAGGGCAACGCTACATCCTCAAAGGTGAAACAAAATATGCTGCAAGTCATCCAGATATTGAGACAAGACAGCCTAAACAAGAGATTTGGCTCTCCAAATGGCCAAGAAAATACACATCCTAGGTATTGTCACTTTGGCTCTCTTGAAAAATCTCTTCTCAGGCTTCAAAACAGTTCACTGTTGAAAAAGTGATCCTGGCTGTCAGTTCCCTCCCCAGCTGAAATTTTCTACAAACCTCAGAACTCCATCATGCAATGACTGTTTAGATGAGTAGCATTCCCCTTTACCTACACTTTCCCAAGTCCATGAATGCTAGGCATTTTGGCACATGGAACATGTAATTTAGGAGTCCACACAGTACTTGGCAAAATTCCAGCTAACACTCCTACCTGCAATGCCCTGGTGCTGGTAAATTGCACAGGTGAACTGAACATTCAGGCTGCAAAGCACCCAAGTATTAAGAAATACCTGTGAATGTTTAACTCAGTGTCCTTTTGCACATCCAATACACCTAAAAATAGGAATGCTTTAATAACATGACCAAACAGTTTCTCTACAGAACCCATGCTTTATCCAACAAGCAGAACACATGGTGCTTCACTAATTGAGAAGATATTCCATGTTTTGTTCTTTGCACTGGCTCATGCACAGCCTCACCTCTCCTTTACCAAATACAATCCATATTTTGTTCCCACAGGGCTATTTAATTCGCTCCTAGGGAGACACTGCACAATCTGAATTCATTTTCACAGTGGAGCTGAAAATTCAAGTAAGACATGGGGAGACTAAGGCCAAAAAGTAAATAGTAATTTCAAATGGCCAGCTGGAAAAAACTGGAATTGGATTTTTCAGATGATTTAGCCCTGTCACTACACTTGATCAAAATCCAGCATGCTTTCAGGTTGGGCTGTGAGCACCTACCACTGCTGCAAGTTAAACATCAGAGTTTCAACTCAGCCATCCAAAAAACCCATTCATCACAGCCACCCAGGGTTTGTGACACATGCACCTAAGATCTCCTGTGTCCAAGACTAAAATTACATTTCTTCAGAAAGCTTTTGTGTGCTTCTTCTGTCATCAAGCTTGTGCCTCTACTCCTGCAGACTTGTTCAGTACACATCTTCCACTGCACACCTCACGCACTGTGATGATGACTGTCAACAGAAATGTGCTCC